GATTGCAACAAGTAATAAGCACGAAGGATGTCCCACAACAACAAAAATAATGCAGCTTAATAAAACTTTTTCACAGTTTTATTATGGAACCCTAGGAAATAATGACATTTATATACCTAGAAGCAAAATTCATATTATTATAATAATGTAATACAGTTGTAATAATATAATAAGTAGTGGTATCTCTCGCTCTCCTCGCTGAGGCTCAAGAAAAGGATTTTCCCGCAGAGTATCCCTCCTTTCTGTGGCTGGGCCACAGAGCCTCGACTTCGTGTAACTTCCCAAGCCAAACTGAGTGGCAAGGACACTGGCCTAACCGTCCCTTGCAGACCAGCACATGTCAGTTGCTTGGCTGTTGCTAAGGGGAGGTGCCGTCTGCAATGATGGTTGCTAAGGGAGGAGCAGACTGATTGGCCATTGCTATGGGAAATGGTTTTACCTGTCTCAGGTATGAGTGGTTTGTGATACTAGGTATGTAAATACCTTAAAACACTCATTAGTGCGAATGCTACGTTGTGTCCAAATTTCGTAGCAATCGGTGAAGAAGTTTGGGAGATATGAGGTCCCCACATACAGACATTACATTTTTATCTATATAGATCGGCGTTTCTCAACCTGGGGGTCGGGACCCCTGGGGGGGTCGCGAGGGGGTGTCAGAGGGGTCACCGAAGACCATCAGAAAACACAGTATTTTCTGTTGGTCATGGGGGTTCTGTGTGGGAAGTTTGGCCCAATTCCATCGTTGGTGGGGTTCAGAATGCTCTTTGATTGTTGGTGAACTATAAATCCCAGCAACCACAACTCCCAAATCTCAAGGTCTATTTTCCCCAAACTCCACCAGTGTTCACATTTGGCCACATTGCATACCTGTGCCAAGTTAGGTCCAGATCCATCCTTGTTTGAGACGACAGTGCTCTCTGGATGTAGGTGAATTACAACTCCAAAACTCATGCTTTGATTGCAGGTTAACTATAAATCCCAACAACAACTCTCAAATGACAAAAATCAATCCTCCCTCCCCCCTACTCCAACCCCACCAGTATTCAAATTTTGACATAATGGGTATTTGTGCCAAATTTGGTCCAGTAAATGAAAATACATCCGGCATATCAGATATTTACATGGCGATTCATAACAGTAGTAAAATTACAGTTATGAAGTAGCAATGAAAGTAATTTATACGGTTGTGGGTCACCACAACATGAGGAACTGTATTAAGGGGTCGCGGCATTAGGAAAGTTGAGAACCACTGATATAGATACTTTGAGAATAATGATTCCATACAAATTATGATTATTACTGTTTTATAGAATATTTTAGATAATTTTAGATATGTTGTAACCAGCCTTCATTAGAGGATGATAAGAAATAAAAGTATTAGTGTTATTATTATCATTATCCTCAATGGAAACTACATCTGCAAATATGGTGAGTCAATGCTAGATTCGGATGTGCAGCAATGAAAACCAAAGTCATACCCGAAAAAGCCACAGATTATCAAAACACTGTATATATTTAATAATTGAAGATTCAAAATCAAACCCAGAACCATGTAACCGACATATAGGTGGAAAACAAGATCCAAAAGGACCTTCGATGATGTATTAAATGCCAGTTTTATATGCCTTTCCAGTCTCTAATATGTTGACCCTCCTAAATTCCCCTTTCACAAATACATATCTATTAAGAAAAAGAGAAACACATTTCTTAAAATACTAAAGGAGGGCAACTAAAATGATCAAGGGCCTGGAGAACAATCTCTATGAGGAGCGGCTTAATGAGCTGGGCATGTTTAGCCTGCAGAAGAGAAGGCTGAGAGGAGATATGATAGCCATGTATAAATATGTGAGAGGAAGCCACAGGGAGGAGGGAGCAAGCTTGTTTTCTGCCTCCCTGGAGACGAGGACGCAATGGAACAATGGCTTCAAACTACAGGAAAGAAAGGAGATTCCACCTGAACATTAGGAAGAACTTCCTGACTGTTCAAGCTGTTTAGCAGTGGAACTCTCTGCCCCAAAGTGTGGGGGAGGCTCCTTCTATGGAGGCTTTTAAACAGAGGCTGGATGGCCATCTGTCAGGGGTGCTTTGAACGTGATTGTCCTGCTTCTTGGCAGAACGGGGTTAGACTGGGTGGCCCACGAGGTCTCTTCCAACTCTATGATTCTATGGCCGATGAGGTATCTTCCAACTCTAGCCATCCCTTGCCAGGCTTTGCTGTGGCCCAGTCTGGTGATTTGGAAAATAAAATAATGAGAAAGTGTTGGTTTCTAATATATGTAATGTGTTGATGCTTGTGGGTAAACAGTATTTCTTGTTGTTTCTTTATCAGTGTTGATGTGGAGAGTGTCTGGTTTGCCTAGTCTGGAACATGCAATATATCATTGTCCTTCTTTAGGGGGCCCTTTCAAATCTATAGTATACCTGTCATATACATATATGTGTGTGTGAATCATATATATCTACAGACTATCTATAGCTGGGTGGCTCTTTGTCAGGAGGGCTTTGATTATGTTTTCTTGCCCTAGTGAAGGGAGTTGGACTGGATGGCCTTCAGGCAATATTTCTCAACCTGGGGGTCAGGACACGGGGGGAGGTCATGAAGGGGTGTCAGAAGGGTCGACAAAGACCACCAGAAAACACAGTATTTTCTGTTTGGTCATGGGGGTTCTGTGTGGGAAGTTCTTCTGCTCCCACCCAAGGAAGGAAGGTCCTCCAGGACTCAGGAGTGGGGGGGGGGGACCCCAAGAGGAAGAAGAAGAATCTTATTTTTCTACCCCGCCTCCATCTCCCCAAGTGTTTCTCAACCTGGGGGTCGGGACCCCTGAGGGGGTCGCAAGGGGGGGGGGTCAGAGGGGGTCGCCAAAGACCATCAGGAAACAGTATTTTCTGTTGGTCATGGGGAACAATAGTACTGGGAACTATAAATCCCAGTAACTACAACTCCCAAATGTCAAGGTCTATTTCCCCCAAACTCCATCTGTGTTCATTTGGGCATATGGAGTATTCGTGCCAAGTTTGGTCCAGATCCTTCATTGCTTGAGTTGACAGTGCTCTCTGGATGTAGGTGAACTACAAAACTCAAGGTCAATGCCCACCAAACCCTCCTAGTGTTTGTGTTTGTCATGGGAGTCCTATGTGCCAAGTTTGGTTCATTTACATCATTGGTGGAGTTTAGAATGCTCTTTGACTGTAGGTGAACTATAAATCCCAGCAACTACAACTGTCTTGTAGCCAAATTTGGTGGGAATTTGTCTTGTGGAGAAATTTGTCTTGTGTCTTGTGGCCAAATTTGGTGGGAATTCATCCCGTGGATTTTGAATTATGTTGTCACTCAAAATGAACAGAGCATTTATAGATAGATAGATAGATAGATAGATAGATAGATAGATAG